TTAAAAATTCTATTTGTATCTTAATATTAACAAAATTAGATATAACATATTGCGACATCTTATGTTTTTACTTGACACTTATCATGATCATGTGAGTTAGTAAATTTAAAAACCAAGTTTTGACATATAATCTCTTCTAATTGTTAAACTTAAACCATAATTTTAATTTATAAAGATAAACCATAATTCTTATTTATCATTTATATACCCAAACCAACAAATAATCTGATTTAATTGTAAAATTAAAGTTTAAACCTTAATCCTCTTATGTAAACAAAAACCGCCATATATTCTTGTTAATTATAAATTTTAAATCCCTATCTTATTAATAAACCAAATTGACATAACTGAAATTAGATTATTTTTTTAATTTTATTAATAATTTTTAATATATAATTCTTTATAATATTTATTTTATATATTTCTTTCTTTGATAGGGTTAATAATATTTCTATTTTATCCAAATATTAACAAAATTATTTATGCCACGTGTCAACATCTTATCGTTTATAATTGACCCGTGTCACGATCTTATTAATGGCTGATTTTGAAAACCAAGGTTTATATAATAAGATTATGTTCCTTATATGATTTTCAAAGGTTCAGAATAAGGAATAGAGGTACCTTACGAAGTGGGGTTCCAACAAAGTCACTTCTATAGTCATCCAACAACATTACAGCAGAACAACCGTACTTGTTGTTGTCGCTGCCATGGTTGAGAAGGAGATGAGGAAGTCACGGGACATTCAATTTCAACGTTCTCGTTCTTGACCCGAGTTTGTTGTGAGTGGAAACAAGATAAGTTTCCATGAGAGATGTTCTGAGCCGAACAGTGAGAAGAGTGGAAGAGGAGGCTAGAGAGAACGAGATGATGGGAGGATAGAGAGAGAGCGAGCTGTGGAGAAGAGAAGAATTAGAGAGAGGAATAAAGAAATTAAAGCAGTTTGGTGGAGGCATATTTGGAGGCTCGCCGGCGCCGGAGATTACGTTGATCTGGAACTATAAGAAGACTTGAGTCTTCATCACCAATCCAAGAGTACACAGGAACTTTGGGATCGTTGTTTGGAGTTAAATCCAAGAAAATATGGGTGTTGCTTCGGGGACAAGTAACTGAAAAAGTCTGTTAACCCAAAACCCTAAAATCCAGTTCCTGAGTTGAGTTTTTTTTTTATGTTGTTTCCCCCTCTAAAAGCCCAATTGTTTTGTCTTCTATCTATAACTGTGATGAATAAATTCAATATTTTTTAAATAATAGGGTAAACATATTCTTCGATTTTTCTTCATCAAGACTCAAGAGGATACAATAGAATATATGAAAATTAAAAATTTCAAGAGTCAGTAGCTAAATCTTTTGTATTTGAGAGCTTTGAAGTTAACATATATAAATATATACTCTGGCAATTATAACATCAATTAAAATGTTTAACATGAATTAAAGTCCAAGTTTTATAAGTTTAGAAAATGTAAACACATATTTTGTGTGATAGGGAGTTTACTCATCTAAGTGTTTAGGAAATCTGGAAATATTTTAATGAGTAAGTTAATCTAAGAACATAAACAAGGTGATAAGTCAAGTTTCATCATTTGATCGGACCAGCTTTGATGCTCGGGTTTTGTTGGATGTCATGTACAGAAGACCATTTCGTAGGTTGCTTTGCTTGACAGGTAGCTTTGGATGGTCGGCACATATGGATGTAAGCCTAAACTTTGATGAAAGATCTCAAACCAGTCTTTGTAACCGATCCTCCGATGGAGTTTCACATAAATGTAGTCTCGACGGGCACATATCGGCCAGAGACAGTTAAGAGTTGTTCGAACTTGATCATCATATTGGTTATGTCCTTCGGATAAAAGATTAGCCGTGGGTAGTATTTACCGGTCTTGCGACTATATATTGATCCGACCCTAGTGGCTAGTCCATTTGATTTTTTTGATAGACTTATTTGGATACTAAAATGCTTGACACTCATTCACAAGCCTAATTAGTTAGCTTCAAAAATAGGATTATTATGTTCTTTATGTCAATAATATATAGGGAAAAATATCATTAAATACATGAACTGAGTCATTTCGGCCAAGTACAAGATGATACCAAGATTAACGCCTAACTAACACATGTTAATTGTTCAGTTATCGGACTTACGACATGTTGTTTTTGTCTTGGTCAACTTTGTTTCATGTTTTAAACGGTACGTCAATGTCTATGTATGATTTAAATAGCATGCCTGAAATTTGATGGTTTAATTGGCGGAAATTACTCGATTCATGTATTAATGACATTTTTCCGATAATATATATGATCATGTTTAAGGTTTTATATTCACAAAAAAATGTGCTTAGACTATTGATTTGAAATCTTGGTATAGACTATTAGTTATGTGTCAACATATTATCTAGTTAATGTATTGATATATTTCTCTTGCAAGAAACGCAAATGTATCCTAATAAATGTCTGTGCATCTAGTGTTTGTATATATATAGAGCCCTTGATGTGGGAAGAACACAACATAACTCACCACAAAACAAAGAATTCAAAAAAATGAATCCCACAAAGTTTTTTGTACTTCTTTTGATTGAATTTGTGTGTGTACATGTTGGTGTCGAAGGAGTAGTTTCTAAAGTAGCAAACTTAGACATCTCAAACCACAAAACTTCTAATGACATTGGAGTTCAGCTTTCTGTTATTGTCAAAACTACTGCATCTGGTTCAGGTACTCCTCCTGGTACTAAAGCTGATGCTACCGCAAGTCCTTGCGGTCCTAAAAGCCATGTAGACGTAAGTGGCTCCGAGGGAAGTAGTGGATTTGTCTCAGTGGATAGTCCCAATGCATATGGTGATTCTAGAAGTAGTGCTTCTGGTGAAGGTAATACCAATGCTGTAGCAAGACCTGATGGTGCCACTGCTAATGGCAACGACATGGCACGTAGTAATAGCTTTGTCCACGGCAAGATCTTCCCTTGAGCATGACATGATCATGCCCATTGCCTCAACGAAGAACATTACAATCTCTTATGTATTGATTTAGAAAACTAAAAGATTGTCCCTTTTATGTGTTAAATAAAATAAATCCAAAATTATACAGTAAAACCTCTATAAAATAATAATGTTGGGACCATGAAATTCTGTTAATTTATAGAGGTATTAGTTTATCGATAAATTAATAATTAATAATTTATAGAGATATTTTCTAATTTGATAAGTTTAAAAAACTATATACATCAAAAATAAGATTTAGTTAGAATCAATTACAACAAAAACAATATAATAGTCATATTTCACTAAAACTTTTACATGTATATAGATATATATTAATAATTTTATGTCATTATTAATTTATACTATTATTGGGATCATCTATTTATAAAATATTTTCAAAAATATTATTAATCTTATTATTTTATGGAAATATGTTTAAAATTACATTGATCACAACTTGGGACCGGAAAATTTTATTAATTTGTAGAGATTATTAATTTATCAAATATTAATTTATAGAGGCTTTACTGTATATTGTTAATACAAATTTGTGACATACACAAAAATTTGGATAACTAGAATAATCAAATCTACATTAAAATTCAATAAGGAACACAGATATTTAACCTATCAAACCCCTCCACGTGTCGACTCCTCACTCATTCTCAAACCACAGCCTAATCCTTCTGAAAACTCCACACAAGATAAACCTTCTAATCTCAACCGTTAATCTAACAACAATCCAAAATCTCAACCGTTCATTCTCATCTTCCTCAAAAACCTTACCTTCTTCTTCATCATCACCTCTCCACCTCTATCGTCTTCGAGAAACCACAAAATCTCTCTCTCTTCTCTCTTCTCTCTCTCTCTTCACAGCAATGGCGTCTCTACAGAAAACTCTATTCTCTCTCCAATCAAAACTCCCACCATCCTCCTTCCAAATCGCCAGATCTCTCCCCATGAGAAAAACCATCCCGATCCGAACCAACGGCGGATCCTCCGCCGCCGGAGCGAGAATGTCAGCCTCCGCAGCGTCAAGCTACGCGATGGCGTTAGCCGACGTCGCGAAAAGAAACGACTCAATGGAATCAACAGTCACAGACATCGAGAAACTCGAACAAGTCTTCTCAGATCCACAGGTACTTAACTTCTTCGCGAATCCAACGATCACCGTCGAGAAGAAACGCCAAGTCATCGACGACATCGTGAAATCGTCGTCTCTCCAATCTCACACATCCAACTTCCTCAACGTCCTCGTCGACGCGAACCGGATCAACATCGTGACGGAGATCGTCAAGGAGTTCGAGCTCGTGTACAACAAGTTAACGGATACGCAGCTCGCGGAGGTTAGGTCGGTGGTGAAGCTTGAGCCGCCGCAGTTAGCTCAGATCGCGAAACAGGTTCAGAAGTTAACCGGAGCTAAGAATGTGAGGGTTAAGACGGTTATTGATGCGAGTCTTGTAGCCGGTTTTACAATCCGGTATGGTGATTCCGGTTCAAAGCTTATTGATATGAGTGTTAAGAAGCAGCTTGAAGATATTGCTCAACAGCTTGAACTTGGTGAGATTCAATTAGCTACTTGAAATTAAAAAAAAAAAAATTGTATAAGAGAACAAATTGTGCAATTTTAATTTTTTTTTTTGTCTCCTCTTCTTCTTTCTTATATTTTGATCAAATCGTATAATATACTGATTATATAATAATTCTGAGTTTATTATTATTATTATCTTTTGTAATTGTTGTTTATGTCTATAGCCATTTTGAAATTGTCGTAACAATGCATCGAATTTGAATAGAAACGTTACATTTCGGCTATGTTAAAATTGCTTCTGAATTTGTTGGATATACAATTGCATGTTGAATTGTGTTTAGTGTGACCATTTTGAGGATATGAAGTGTAAATTTTAGTTCCATGAGTTTTAGTGTTGATTGAGCAATGCAGCTGCGTTAAGACTCGACCAACTCAATAGGTAGATGAAAGATGGTTGAATCAACTTAGGAGTCATCTCGGTTATACGATAAAACCGGATTTTGAAAGATGAGAAAGTTCGCGAAGTTATTCAGAATTGTGTTTGATGAGTTCGATTGTGACAAGGGAGAACGAAGAGGTGAATTCGAGACTGCCAAATGGAGGATTGATTTACTAAACTTGTATTATTCTTAGGGAAATTGGGATGTAAGTGAGCTGTGAAAAGATGATTAGACTAGTCCTTGGAATCGAGGTTGAGACTCAATCTAATTGATCTTCCACTTTGACATCATGGGGTGAGATTGGTTACATGAAGAAAAGAAACAAAGATTAGCTAACGAGCATTGTTATATCTGATGGTAATGATTGATTACGGCGATAGATTCATTAACTGTGTGATGATATATTATGGTCAGGGAGGTAAGGCCATCATTATCGGTGGGTTAAGATTTGTTAAGAAAGGATTCTTGTATACGAAATTCTCTTAACAAATCTTAGAGCTAAGATTTATTAAGAGCCTACCAATGATGATGGTCTAATAAGAAAAACAAAGATGTTAGAGGAAACTTGGCTTTAGCTAATAGCATTAAGGAAAAGACTCCGGCGCTAGTGATCCTTGGCACAAAGAGATTGGAGCAGAGAGGAAAAGATTTTATGTATGAATACATGGTTCATGACAAGTATTACGAAGAGAAAGAGCCTCAAGGTAACATTGTTTTCAAGTTTAAGCTTAGTAGAATAGATGATCAACCTTCTCTAGATTTTTGAACATGCTCAAAGACTCTACGAATCATAAATCACCTACACTATTTTGTTAAAAAGAATAGAAAGAAACAAAAAAAAACAGAGTTATATAATCTTGACTAGGCTCGGCCCAAATTGAAAGCTTTGTGACTTTGTATAATGGGCTTGCTTTCAATAAACAATATATGAATTTCATAATGAGTTTTGAACTCGTGATAGTTTAACGTTTTAAACACCACTAAAAGCCAACGCTAGGGTTAACAAGCCATGGCTCTTCGTATTCTAAGCGTGAGCTTCTTCGACTTCCCCCATTATATTAGTTCCAAGAAACATACTTCATTACATCTTTAAATGACGTATCATCTTACCTTATGCAAATGTTGTTTGTAAAAAACCTCTAGGACACTAATCATATACCCAAAAGGGAACGACAAGGACAATGGAAGTGGGTTTATTTCAATGTATGTTGAAATAGATAGCACAAGCCTTGTCTCTACAACTCAAACTGAGGTGTATGCTGATCTCCGGTTTTTTGTATTTAACAAAAAAAGAAAACAAGTACTTTACTATTCAAGGTATGTTCTATCTTCTACTATATAATACATGTATATATATTTTGCTTTGGTTCTCTTGTGCTATGAATGTCTTTGTATATCCTAGACGTGGAATCAAAGCTGTTCAATACATTAAGAACGATGTAGGCATGGTCGCAAGTGCTTTCGCTTGATACATTCAATGATGATGAAAACGGATATCTCTTTGATAGAGATCATTGTGAGTTTGGTGTTGAAATTATTGTTGTTCCACCTCAAACCAAATGGGAAATCCTTTCTTTTGATGGGGATCGATGTTGTATATTGTCCTAACTTCTCTTGGAGTGTTAAGAATTTCTCTGAGGTTAAAGAGAATCCTCACAAATCAGACCCCTTTTTAAAGTAAACATAACAAATATTTGCTTTTTTGAAGTTTAATTATTCTTTTGTATAAGAATGTTAACAAGTGTATATAATGTTTGTAGGGTTCTAAATTTGTATCCCAAGGACTCAATCTTCACCAGATGGTAAATGGATTTCCATTTTTCTGCATTTAGCTGATGATGAAAATTTGAAGGAAGATGAAAGCATTTACGTGCAAGCAGAAGTGAGAGTTGAAGAACCACTTAGATCAAATCACTTGAAACGCGATTGTACGTGAAAGATTTTATAAATTTATTCGAGATTATGGGATGATATAAAGTATATAACATAACAATATTATTCAGTTTCCCTGATTATAAATTAACTAATGCGTATATTACATATTCTATTTTCAGTTAACTTGTGGTTAGATGAACAAGGCTATGGTGGTGGTTGGGATCACTTCGTTTCTTTAGCTGAACTTCGAAAGACTTACTTGGACAAGGAAGACACTTTGAAAGTATTTAAGATCGAATTTAAAGTCGTTTCTGCTACCAAATATTCTTCTTTTACCTAAGTTCTGTTAGAATATATATCTATGCTTTTCAAGAGCTCTCACATGATCTCTTAAATTTATGTAGTTCTTATTTCGCCATTTCACAAATGATTTTTTTCTTTAAGTTTGATTTCATAAGGTATCTCATTACGTAAAATTGGGTTTCAAAATAAGAAATAACTCAAACAGCATAAAAATACGTTTTATGAACAATTATAGCAACCACTCCACGAAAATAGCTCTAATTAACACAATTGCAATATTTTAAATAAGTTTTTAGAATTTTTTTTAAGAGTTTGGGTTTACTATTTTACATTTAGGGTATAGTTTTTAGGGATAGAGTTTATTGTTTAGAGTTTATGATTTAATTTTGATTTATGGTGCCAATTTTGGAAAATAAGAGTGTGTGCTGATTTTAGAAAAAGAAAAATAGTGCTATGTTAAATAAGAATATATACAAACAAGATTTACACACAAAATATATATACTGGATAAATATAAGAAAACTTCCGATCAGATATGAAAATTTTAATTTTGATATGGTGCTAATTTTGAAAGATAAGTGGGGGAGCTAGATTGGAAAATCATATCATGGTTCAAGCCCTAGGATCTAGGGTTACATCCGTATATATATATATATAGTGCTCTTGGCTTTGAAGAGAGGTCACATGTGCAAAACCATAAAATCCTAGTGGAAGGAGACCAAACCTTACGTGTGACAGAAGAAAAGTTTTATCTAATAATGTTGTCAAACATATCTTCAACAACTGTGCAGACGTGGAGAGAACGTCCTCCTTCTTCTTATTCCATCAAAATCCAGAACCTCTCTCAACTCCAAACCTCAACTTCCCACTCACATGGCACATACCGATCTCGACGTTTCTCCTCTGGTGATTACCAATGGTATGTATATATATGTTCACTTAGTTCCATATAGATGTTGAACCAAATCCTAAATACCATTCTCCTCAGGAGAATGATCATATACCCTAAAGGGAACGACAATGACAATGGGAGTGGGTTTATTTCAATGTATGTTGAAATAGATAGCACAAGTCTTACTTCTACAACTTCCATTGAGGTGTATGCTGATCTTCGGTTTTTCGTCTTTAACAAAAAAGAAAACAAGTACTTTACTATTCAAGGTATGTATGTTCATGTTTTACTCTACATCTATATTTGCATATTCATATATTTCTATATACTAGTAAAAAAAAATCCCTATAGCCGCTTGAGTATTCGTGGCTGTGTTTCGTGACTGTAGCGTAGTAGCTTAAATAATTCGTGATTTTTTAAAAAAAAAACCATCTTATAGTCATGAATTTTTGCGACTGCCAAGTAGGTATAGGTATTTATTTTACTAGTCATGTATATCTATCTACCTTGGTCTATATATGAAGTGTCTTTGTAAATCCTAGATGTCGAATCAAAGCCGTGCAATACACTAAGAACGATATGGGGATTGTCACAAGTGCTTCCGCTTGATACGTTTAACGACCATAAAAACGGATACTTATTTGATGGTGATCATAGTGAGTTTGGTGTTGATATCATTGTTGCTCCACCTCCAACCAAACATGAAACACTTTCATATGATGTGAAGCTTTCTTATCCAAAGTTCTCTTGGACTGTTAAAAAGTTCTCTGAGATAAAAGAGGATATTCACGCATCAAACTCTTTTTCAATGGGTGGAAGGCAATGGTAAATTAAGAGTACATATACATAAATATATATATTTAACTAACTATAATTATGTACATATACATATAAATATATGATTACGTTTAACAAAATTTAATTGTTGTTTTGTAGGCTTCTAAAGTTGTATCCAAAGGGATACTCTATAAAAGATAGTAAATGGCTATCGATATTTCTCGTTTTAGATGGAAGTGAAGTTTTAAAGGAAGATGAGAAGGTTTACGTGAAAACGCATCTGAAAGTTCTAAATCCAAGTGGATCTAACCACTTGACAAAAGAGCGTATGTGAAAGCCCATTTAAACTATTATTTTCGTACCTACCTATCTAAAATACTATTGTGGATAACCAGATCGTTTTTTGGGCAGTCTTAATTCCAATGCTTATATGTTTTATTGTATTGCAGTTAACAAATGGTTCGATACACCTGGTTTTGGTTTTGGTTGGGATCACTTCGTGTCTATAGCTGCACTTCGAAACACCTACTTGGATAAGGAAGACACTTTGAAAATTGAGATCGAATTCGAAGTTGTTTCTGCGACCAAATATTCTTCCTTTGCCTAATTAATCTCTTTGCTCTAAACACTTTAGGGTTTCTTTATTTTAAGACCAAATATTTGTCCAAGTATCCAACTATCCGCAGAATGTCTACAATGAATTTCATTTTCTTTCGGCTTGCTTATCTCAACTTGATCGAGCCAGCAAAGAATTTCCTCGAACCATATTGGAGAATCACCGACAATATTTGACTATTTCATATATAACCACTTTTGAAGATATGTCGAGCCAATTCACATGATTGTCATGAGAGTTTTACCGAATCACATCTAGATGAAAACCAACATATGAAGATTTTTCTCCAACCATCTTCGAGATTCCTCGACATTTTTCCTCATTTCATGAAGAATTTTTGACTAACATATGTGCATTGTCGAGCTGGATATCATTGGAGCTCCTCTCATTTGATGTTCAATAACATAAGTTCTTTTGGAGTTAATAATTTCGAGGTGAAAGAGAATCCTCACATAACAGACAGTTTTTTTTTTTAAGGGGAGTGGTAAAAGTACATACAAATATTTGCTTTTTTTAAGTATATGATTGTGTTTTGTGTATAAGAATGTTTACAAGCGTATAAATAATGTTTTGTAGGGTCCTAAAGTTGTATCCCAAGGGCCATTCTTCACCAGAAGGCAAATGGTTATCCATATTTACGTGCAAGCAGAAGTGAGTGATGAAGACCCACTTGGAAAGATCCAATCACTTGACACGCACGTATACATGAAAGCTTTCTTAAAACTAATTCGAGATTATGAGATGATATAAAGTAGACATAACAGTATTATTTGGCTTCCTTGATTCTCAATTAACCAATCCATAATTTATATTATATATATTCTCACTACAGGAAATAAGCAATCATCGTTTTGAGGGGGAAGTACCTTCGCCGGATCAGCCGGTGACTGTGTGGCTTCTCCCTCCTCCGTTTGGTTTCTTGTAGAGCTTCACAGCGGCGGACGCTTAGCAGATCTTGAGCTTCAGAGATGGGCGAGTTCTTTTCTCCGACAACGGTGGTGGGGTTCTTCTTCACGGATGTAGCGGTGGTTCCATTTGGGCGGGGGAGAATCGGATGCGTTAGACACCGGTTTGAAGACGCTGGTGGTTGTATCCGACTCTCTCCATGGCTCGCCCGTCCTTCTGGTCGCTCCGGCTACGGCGGAAGTCGGTGAAGGAGAGGTGGGTTTGTTGTTTTGATTCGATGGTTTACGGAGGATCTCTTGATCCTTTGACGGCCGCTGCGGATTCCGGGTCAGGAGTGTTTGTCTGAGCCATCAACCTCCGGATCTGCCGTCTGTGGTTTCCATCGGTCCGGCTGAGAAGTTTTCTGCTCAAGAGAACTCGGGGCTTTTGGTTTTGGTTGGTGGGGTTAGATTCCCGGTGGTCGAATTGCTAGGCGTGAGATCCGGCTTCTCGGAACCGGTTGTTGGTCGGTTGGGTACTCCGGGAGGCGTGTAGCAGGTTGGTCGGCCAGTGGTTTTGTGTCCATGTCGGGAACCGGATTCTCCCTTCGGATCTCCCCATCCCCTTGGCTCTGCCGCGACGCCGTGCTCCTTGAATCCGCTGGATTTCGTACCCTGACTCTCTGCCTCCGGTTATACAGCAAGATCTGAGCCGTTGACCTCGTCGCCGGAAGTTTCGCCGGAAGTTTTTCCGTTTTCCTCTTTTGGGCTTCTGAAGTTTCGTTTTTGTTGTAAGTTTTTGTCCGGCCCGTTAAGGGGATTATCAATAAAATTTAAAAAAAAAAAAAAAAGAAAAGAAATAAGCACATTAATAGCACACGAAAAATGCTACTAAAGGGCTTTTGTAGCGTATTTATAAACGCTATAATACAAAGAGTTATAGTAGACCCCCCCTATCATACCATAATTTATGCGTTATGGAAGATTGATCTATTATAGCGCTAGTAGTTGGCTATTAAATATTTTTTGCTAGAGCTTTGTCATTGTTATTATGTTTGTTGTTATAGCTAATATTTTGAGCTGTATATTTTAATGGCTATTATACATTGCTATACCATCATCTACAAGAGCATTTATCAATTGTCATGAAAACTAAAACAAGGCTTGGGTGGTACGTAAAACTAAAACAGGCTCGGCTGGTGGTTCTGGTTTGGATCAGTTCGTGTCTGTTGCTGAACTTCGAAAGTCTTACTTAGCTTGGACAAGGAATACACTTTGAAAGTTGAGGTCGAGTTTAAAGTTGTTTCTGCTACCAAATGTTCTTCCTTTAACTAAGTTCTACTTTGATCTCTTACATTATATATACTAGGTAATGTCCCGCGCGTATGCGCGGGTTGTTGTATATTTATTTAATTATTTTAATTTATTTATTACTTATAAAAATAGATTAAATAAATTTTAATGTTTATGACATTTTTACATTTTATTTATTTGAATCATACAATAGAAGCATACATCCATATCTTTTGAATTTATTCGTTGATTAATTGTTCAATTTTGATAGTAATTTTCTTTAGTGCTTTTAAGTATTTTTTGATAAAACAATAATATTGTTAATGATAAAAATATGAATGATATTGGGAGAATTTAAAAAATACCCTTTTAAAAATACCACTTTTTAAATTTACCCCCTTTTCAAACTTTATCAAAACAACCACTAAAAATGTTAAAATTTATCCATATATGTGTGTAAACTTATAAATATACACACAAATTACCTTTATTGGTGTATAAAATTTTATTTATTTCAATGTCTTACAAATTGGTTTGAATATAACCAAAAATTATTTTGTTAAAATAATTACATACTTTGAAAATAAAATAAATATACATGAATTT